ATCACAACAACATAAGGACCAGGTTCACGAAACCTGTTCTACTCAGAACTATTGGATATTGAAGTTTGATCAATTAAAGTCTAGGGTTATTAGTCTTTATTGATTTGTTCTAGGTTTATTATTGAGTTGTAATAATTCCTAGATTTGTAAAAGAAGTGGGTTTGACTTCTTGGGAGTTGAATCTTGAGAGAATTGTAACAAGAAGTGGGTTTGACTTCTTGGGAGAGAGGTTGTGAGAATTGTAAACAAGAAGTGGGTTTGACTTCTTGGGTGGTTAGAGTTAACAAGAGTTGACAACTTTTGTAAACAAGAAACGTGTTTGACTTCTTGTTGAGTGGAGAGTTTTTGATTATAGTTAATCGAAAAGGGTAGAAGTTTAGAGTTAGATTCATTGATTAACTGAGTTGTAAATCTTGAATTAATAGAAAACTTCGGTGTGGTTTTTCACTTCCTTGAGTTAGTAAGGTTTCCACGATAAATCTTTGTTTTATTGTGTTATGAAAAAATTACAAGAACCTGGTTCTTGTTCTAGGGGTAAGGTTTCTTCAAAGTTCATTGAATAGAGGTGACTAAATATGAAGTACTTTCCAACCATCAGTAAAATATATAATCATAATAAATGAAAAATGTCATGAGATGCAATCCAATATGGCACCATGAAATGATATGCCTCAAAATACCAATTATGCTCTCTCAATCGTATATATTGAGAGTTCATGACTCATGAGAGACTCACGAGATCCATCTACTGACACGGACGATCTTCACTTGTGTGTGCGGACGATTTTACTGTACTATCATAAATTAAATAAATTTCGCACGGACAATCTTCACGTGCTCAAATTATAATCATAGCTTCTCCATCTCAGAGACGATCTCCACGTGGCCAAATAATCATAACTCGATCTCAACACGAATGATCTCGACGTGTTAGATCTTTATTCATACTCAATCTCATGTCAATGCATGTGCAGAATATGATATCAAATAAAGGTGATGATGAAACATCTCAATACATTAAATGTCGCAATGAGATATAATCACCTCAATTATCACAATAATATGTGTTCAGTAAAGAATATAATCACACATAATAAATAAAGTCAATAATATATCGGCTAATGCCCACATGCTTTGGCATTCTCGTATTACAATCCATATTCTATAGTAATAAACTTTGCCTTTAAAAGATTGATACTTGTACCATTTTCAATCCATCACACACAAACAATTAATCGCGTTACCTTTACTATCCCTTTTCATCATTAGAATTAATCAAGGTGGACAAGTCAACCCTTCACCAAGTCCTATTACTCCCAAACACATATCGCAAGGAAATACGCAAATTTCATACACTTAATAAGGGTTTAGAAATTCACTTGCCTCGATCAATCAAGAATTCACTTCGAAACTTGAGCCTTCTCCTTTCGTTGAACTTCCAACAAAAAGCAATCTATTCAAATAAATAGCCACAATAAGATTTCAAAACTCACAACACTCATATTACACTATATTTATCCTTGAACCAAAAATTCACCCAAGTTTATGATTAAGTTCCTAAATCTTGATGTCAATTAACATTTTAATTATCATATTTTCCATATTTCAAATCTAGGATTAAGTTCCAATTTTTCGAAATAATACGACGCAATAATTTTCATATAATATAATATCACTAATATTTAATTGCATATAATAATAATAATAATAATAATAATAATAATAGTACCTACACTTTGATATTTTGTTAAATAATTATAACAATAAAATAATAGAAAGACCCAAATAGTTATTAAGTTACATACAATATATATTGAATGGAGAAAACGTAAAAAACATACGTAAAAACCACCTGGGCACCTTTCCATACATAAAAACCACCTGTGCATTTTTTTAATTTTTCAAATTTCAACCTCTCAAATGGAAAGGAATTTGGTCAATTAATGACGACTTTCAGATTTTATCCCCACTAAAACTTCCAAAACAAACCACCGCACTCCTTCCGATTTCCTTATTTAACGAGCATATTATAATAAATAATATTAGATCAGCTAATTATCGATTCAAATAAACGTAGCAATATATTCTCATCGAAAAGCATTTATTGCTCACGCTCTTTTTGTTATTCTTTTTCTCACACAACTCAATCAACTGAATAACGATAATATGATCTCATTTATATGGTTTAGTATAAAGATTTAAGAGTGATTAATATAATTACACAATAACAAATATGATATGTAGTTACGAAATTATTAGCTATGATATCAAATTCGTCACTAATTATTCGTTTTTAGTGACAAAAATTTACTTTTCATGCTTAAATATATGACATACATATTTTTAGTGACGAAACATAAAAATTCATAGTAAAATTTTGTCCACTAAAATTTCCCACCAAAAAATTAATTGACTTTATTTGTTTGGCAGTGTTAGTAACGAATTTAAAGTTATCTATGACACATTATTTCGTCACTAATAATGTATCTAATTCATGAAAAATACATGTTATCTTATAATTTATTAAATTTTGATTGAAAAAATTCATCTAAAAAAACATGTTGTTATAATATCGACAAATTAGAATTCACAGTTAAATATTATAAATTTTAGCTATGAAAATTAAAATTTAATTATGACATTTATTTCACATAATTCAGAAGCAATTTTAACCCTTTTCCATCTCCTTTAACTGTAATTTTCGATTGTGCAATGCTCTTGCTGGTTATTGATTGCCAGAAGTTAAGGATCTAATTTAGATGGTATGAACTTTTCAGCTTCTCCTTGAGTTTCACAGTGAGCTTTCGTGGCAGTTTGAGGACTGATTTTAATAGAAATTTTATATCACGATTTAAATTATCATGAATGGCGCCCACACTAATTCTTTAATGAGAGGACTAACTACTAACTCAACTTAAGCCGTCATGAGTAGTTATGAAAATCAAATTATGAAAGAAACAACTAAAAGCAATTTAAAATTTGTTTGAGTTTTCATAAACTCAATCAATAGTTAAAACATTGCAAAATTTAAGCACTTGAAACGGAAAGTGGAAGTACAAAACTTTAATTAGTCAATAATGAGGATGCAACTGTGAAAGCTAGAAAACACAAGCTAATAGTTTACTGTATGTGTCTTAAGATATGGATAAGAAGATGTCAGAAGAATCCATGGCAACTTAAAAGTAATTTATTCTTAAATTTGAAGATCATGCTTCCTTTAAGTGAGGTCTCGTATCAATCGTCTGAATATGTTTGCACTCTATAAGAAAAAAGCAAATACAATATCAATAAAGACCATATTATACTTGTAGGATTACATATCTAGTTTCAAGCATACATAATTAATATAATTTTATTCTTTTTATGCATAATTTTCTTAATTGTTATCTTCGTTGTTAATATATTTTAAATTAGTTGATACTTTTCAATGTTTAGATATATTATTTGATTTCGACTTCTAAACAAATATGAATTTTTTTTATTTTGTAGTCGAACGGAAGTCACAGTTACACCAAGTCAAAAATTTTAACAATTTACTTTATAAATATCTTAATTTGTATCCAAATAACTACAAGCTTGAATTTTATCAGACTGAATATATTGATATTTCAATAAAAATATTTTATACTAATATAAAATTAACCGCGCAATTTCTAAGATGGTTAGCTTAACACATAAAAATCAAATACAATATGATGGCTTTCTCTTCTAAAGGCAGGGGTTAAGATACCATTGCGGCATTAAGTAAGGAATTTGAGGAAATCAAGGCGCATCCACTTCGTCGTCTCAACCTATTTATATGCAATAGGTAGAAAAGATTCCGCCCTTCTAGCCTCGAGTAGTGGACTTCACATTTAATTAACATTTATAATTTACAACTTTCAAACCTGTGATCTAGGTAGAAGTAAAAATATATTTGATCTTTTTTTTAATTATTGTGTAATTTTAAAAAAATTGAAAAAACTAATTAATTGAAATTGAAATAGAAGAATCAATTTTATCTTAGTGTATTTTGGTTTATAAATTTGATAAACCAACATATTAGGTTTAATTATTTTTAATGAAATACCAAAGCAATCCAACATATGATTTTACAAAGAATATACTGTTATATTAATTCTATCATTTTTATAGGTTGAATGTTACTATACAAAAATAAATAATATAAAAAAATAATTACTTTTTGAAGAAAATCAGACCATTATAAAAAAAAAATATCACCCTAAAAAAATCACCGTCATAAAGAGATTTACAAAAATAAAAATAACTTTAATTAAATGAGTTGATTAAAATAAATAAATAAATATGACATATGATTTGAACACGTGGAAGTAGTGTAATGTTTTTGTTCTTATATAAACACCAAAACAATTTCAGTTACTTCACTCTTCTGGCTCTTTCCGCCTAAGTGTGAAATGCACTGAGCTAAGCTACCTCTTAAATTTCTTCTACTCTCATTCTCACCGATTCAATCCACATTTTTCATATTTGTTGCTGAGGAGACGGAATTTCAGAATGGACGGAGGTGATACATATCAAACGGTGAAAGATGATTCCGGCGACATCGCCGGCGGTGGTGAAACGGTCACCATTAAATCCGATGTGTCAAGGACTCCAAGTTATCTGTTCAAGTTAGCCTTGATTCCAGCGTTGGATTATTCAAGTCCATCCTTTCCCAGCCGACTGATATCCCTGCTGAGGAGCAGAAAGTTATCTATAACGGCTGGATCTTAAAGGATGATCAAACCCTAAAAAGCTGTGGTAATATCTAATTACTCTTATCTAAATATTTTTTTGCTACTTTATTAGTAATGCTGAATTTTTTGTGTTTACTTTTTATTACTCATGTTGCTGATCAACCAATCAAATGTACCTCAATTACGAACTTGTTAGGGTTTGTGATATTAATGTTGTAAACATTGTTCTTTATTGGTGTTAAAAAATAATTATTTAAAAGAATATTTGTATGTTTTGTAACTTGTATGTTATATAGAGGTGCATGTTAAATATCTGAAAGTTCAGATTCTTTTTGGGCTTTAATTACTGAATGTAGAGAACAGAACTATACTTCGGTTGGCTTGGGATTGTATGCTAATGCATTTTCTTGTTCTGAGGTGTAATTTGAATTATTTGTTCATTGTGGAAAATAATGCATTGAGAACTGTTTTAACAAGAAAAAGAAAAAATGCATATAGAAGTAGTTTCCTGAAATGGAGAATCTGGTTTTGGAAAATAATTCATTGGAACTATTAGCGGGTGTTGAGATTGTGGATATTCTTAGAATGTAGAAGTATTTTCTTTGACGGTTGTGAAGGAGATATCCTGCAATTGAAGGGATTAGTAATTTTTGAAAGCCTACATTCGATTCCTACGTACAATACTTGACGTCATGAGCTCATTCGCTCCATCTTGATAGGTAGGATTACGTTGACAAAATATTCCTTAATTTCTCGATTTAGAAGTGCAAATTTAATCTCTGTGTTCAAATTTAACCTCTTTGTTTGTGTTCTTTCCAGAATAGATGAAAATAATCGATAAGTTGTGTGTTAATGCATTAGGACCAAATTTCGATTCTAATAGATTTAAAGTCTTGCTTATTTGTTACAATATACTCCCTAATCTGGCATGTTTTGTCTTGGGATAAGAAATAGGTAAAGGTCAATAAGTGGAAAAAAGTAATATAGAGGATGATGCTGTAGTATTGGGGTTTATTAGGCTTTTATTAGAGTATGAAGCTGTATACGTGGATCTGCAATAGCAAGGAATCTGCATATTTGTTGCAGTTCAGTTTCCATTTTACTACGTAGATTTGATTTAGCATGTATTCTCTTGTCTTTAACATGATGCTACTTAATGCCAATTATGTTGATCTTATTCATGATTGATTACTTATAAACACATAACATTCTGGATTGAGCTTTGGAATCTTATACTATCATGATGCATGGAGCTTCTATTTTATCTGCTCTCTTGTTGCATGTTATCAGCTGTCAGAATAAGAATCACAGTAAATATAATTTTAATATTTGTGGCGAGCAGGTCTGGAGGCAGACCACACAGTTCATCTTATTCGAGATTCTGCCGCAGCTGCTTCTGCTAGTGCAACCAATGTCGTAAATCCAAATGTTAATCAGGATGCTCCCAGGGTTGCTGTTCCCACTACAGGGGGGCTGTTTGTCAGAGTCGGTGGAGGTCCACGACTTGGAAGTAAAGGTGGTTCGTTTGGAGCTGGACTTCCAGATTTTGAGCAGGTCCAACAGCATGACTCCAACATGATGAGAGAGATATTGAATATGCCTCTAGTTCAGGATCTAGTGAATGACCCAGAAATCATCTGCAACTTTATCGTGAACAGTCCTCGAATGCGAGAGTATGTGAATCTTAATCCCGAGATCCCACACATATTCAATGACCCTGCTATATTTCTCCAGACATGGGAGGCTGCATATAATGAACTCATGCATGAGACGATAAGAACTATTCAATGGCCATTGAGCCACACTGAATCGTCTCCTGAGGAATTTAACATGCTAAGGCACATGTATGAGAATGTCCAAGAGCCATTTCTGAATGCAACAAGCATGGCTGGAGATACAAGAAATTATTCAGGGACAAACCCGGTCATGGCTCTTTTGGGAGCCCAGGAACAAGGCAGAAACCGGTCAACTAACCCTCCAGCTACTGGTTCTGACACAACTGCTAATCCTCCTGCTCCAAACTCGAACCCACTTTAGGATCCTTGGGCATCAGCTGACTGTAAGTTTCTAGCAAGTTTGTGGATCTAATTCTATTTGCCGCTAGATTTAACCTTGTTACTTCATCTCCTATCTTGTTCACCAGGGTCTTCTGCATATTAAAAGAAACTTTTTATCTCTTTCATATTTCTCATTCTGGAGATGCTTTCATGCATCTTCACTGCTTGGGTGCCATGAAGTCATCATACTCATGCAATTTGTGCTTAGAACTTGAACATTTGAACACCTGTTCTCTGTAGCTACTTTTTTTCTTTGTTTTTCTCTGGTAAAAATATTTCAAAGTTTAGCACAATTTTGTTAGGATTTCTTAAAAACAGTTTTATACTTTTAACTATATCAGTTAATGTCTTATGTATGTAGCATTCATTATCTTGATTCCCCCCTTCCCCCTTTTTCAACTATTTTTGATAAGCGGGGTATTGTCTTTTTTCTCTATTTTGTAGTTGGAGTTGCCCAAATGAATACCGCTCCCAGATCAAATGCTTCTAGGACTATTTGGGGACCCTCTCCTGGTGGTTTGGATGACATAGCAGATTTGCAACGAATGCTAGGTGGCATACCTAGCGCCTCTTCTGAAAATCAGTTAATAGGATACCCATCCATCTCGCAGATAATGTAGCACATAAACCAGGTATTTATTTATTTAATTTGTACTAAATCTTACAAACAGTCATCGAGTTTAAGATTTTATTCTTTTTTCTTCTAGTTTTCTTTTTTTGTTGTTTGTGATGGAGAATTTCTTGTCAAGCTTCTCATTTCTTGAGTATCTTGGTGGTTAGATTATGGGGCTCGACCCCAACTCTCATCCTGGGGATATGATGCCAAATCCTGAATTAATTCATCAGTTGATGTCCTCTGAGAGGATGCAGGTAAAGAATTTTTGCATGCTGTCTTTAAGTTTTGCTTGTTGGAATTGTAGAATGTGTAAGTGGTGCATGCAGTGTGGCAAATCTAGAAAATCGGGTATCACTCTCTTTTTGATACATAAAGGTTAATGATAACTTGGAACTCAATGAGGTAAAAGTTCTGTTAAAAATATGTTTAGAGCCTGTTTGGATTGGCTCTGGGCTTTTAGCTTATAAGCCAAAAGTCATACTATTTTTGCCACACTGCATGCACCACTTAATAACACTTTTTTGTTTTACACATATACTACAAAAGTGCTTTAAAAATATTTTGGCTTAAAAATACTTAAAATAAGTCAATCCAAACGGACACTTAGTAGATTTGTCGCAAACTTACACCTAGAGGTAAATAAGTTAAATTACAGCTTAAAAAGGTAAAAGTATGACTCCTTCCATTTTCGATTAATTTGTTTAGTTTTGACTTGGCATGAAGTTGTAGAAAGTAAAGAAGACCTTTGTGTGGTCTTAAACTAAAGATAGGTAGAATTCCATAACATCCTTTAATCTTGTGGTCTTGAACATGTGAAAAGTTAGAACTAAAAGAGTTGTCATAACATGAAAAAAGACATTCTTTTTTCAATAGACTAACAAAGAAAGTAAGACAAACAAATTGAAATTCAGGGAGTATTAGAAATTTGCTTAGTAGAATTGGTGCAGAAAGAGGTTTTGGAGATTGATATAGTGAGAACTTGAATCAGATTGTTTTAGAGAGATTGTCAAAGATGCACCAAGAGGTCACAGGCTAATCAATTGAGTTTATATGTGTCTGTATGTGTTGAAAATGTAGATGCGGTCTTAGTGGCTTAGTATAACCATTCTCATTAGTGGTCGTACTGATTACTGAAATGACACTAAATATTAATGCTGGGCATCTGTAAGGAAAAAGAATAAAAACATTTACTATGAAAAACAAAGGAGAAAATAGCAACAGAAAAAATCAAACAAAAAAATATTGTCTATTTGTTATTCGTTTCTCTTATTGGACACCATTGAGCTACTTTCAACCCTTGCAATTACTTTTTTAGATTCATTTTCTTACTAATCTAAATAAGCTAAGCTCCGACAATGTTAATTTATCAAAAATAAACTTCACAGATTTTCGTGTCAAGTATGACATGATAGACACTGTCCTTCAGATTTTATTATTTCAATACAAAACAATACTTCAGATTTTATTAGTTATGTGTCTACAGACTTTATTGTTCATTGAAACTGTTTTCATAATCATTTCATTAAATATTAGAATATTAATGTCTATTTATTTCTCTTGAACATGATGTATGTTTTTATGTCATATTATTGTTAAGTGTTACTGATTCATCAAACATGTTTTCTGAGCACAATATAAGACATTCCGGATTGAACATTTTTCATCTATATAATTTAAAAGTCATTATATTGCCCATTTGGAGGTACCAAGGGTATAAAAGAGAATCCTTTTGATATATGTCTGGAAATAATTTTTTTTTTTGACAAAAAAATTGTGTTTTATTCATCTTCAACAAAAAGACGCGTGATTTTATTCATATGTTTCTGGACATAGAGCATGATGTGTGCATGGTTCTTCGGGTATGTTCTTCCTTCATTCCTTTCTATTTTTTTACAATCGTTCTTTTTCCTTTTAGGAATATCTGGTACAACAAGGGCTATTTCCTTACCTTGATCAGCCGCAATCAAACCAGTAAGTCTGGACATATATCTATGGATTTTCACTTGGCTGGAGAATCTCACACCTCCTGATTCAGCTGATATGATGATATGCATCTCCTTGTCTCATTATTAGTCATTGTTTCTTGTCCTACAAGTCACCAAAGGAAAAAGAAATATTACTTAGATTCATATTTCACTTGCCAAAAAATAGTCTAAGCCTTTCTAATTAGGTGGGATAGAAGATAAACTTGTGAGTGGCTCGAGATTTTTACTCTGATTATTTGGATCAATGGGGTAATTTTCTGCCTTGCGTCTATCACTTCTGACAGTATCTTTTCCGCATGCAGAGAACAAGATCAGGACGAAGCTGACGAAACATGTAATATTTCATTCTCTATATTTCCCAATTTGATATCCTTGTAACTGTAAATATACCCTAAGGTTTGGAGGGAATGATCTCTTGATTTAGGAGCAAATAAATCCTCTTACAATATTTTACAAATGTTAATTAAGTCTAGTATTTTAATGCAAAACTGGCCTATTAGGAACAATACACTTCATATTTTTGTGATGCACATTATTTGTGATGTTTCATATCAATGGAAAACTTCACTGTATTGTTACATCGTATATGAAATTTGAGATTTTACAAGGGCGACAGAACTGATTAGGATTTATAACTGTTAGGAGTTTATTTTTTTGTTAAGAATATCGATTGAAATTTATAGGTTGAGAATGCGGGTTTGGTGGAGATATAGAAGACACAAATTCAGATAAAATATATGAATGTCAGAAATGAACTGTACAAAAGAGTGATATTAGTATGAAAATAACGAGATGAGATATAAATTTGTATCCGGAAAAGGTTGTTTATTATGGGGACCTTTATAATACTATTTTACACTTATGAATAAGCTAAAGAAAGGTTGGATGATGAATGCTTATTTTAGATGATACTCTTTAATTGGTGAAATTAGCGAGAAAGTCAACTGAGGTTGGAACAGTTGGAACTATGACGAAGCATTCTGGTTTTAGCCTTTTATTTAGGTTAATTAGAAATAAAACAAACTACCTATAAAAAGTAGAAATTTGACAAACTATGTTCACTGCAAGTTATAATAAGAACAGTCGAATGAGATCACTAGATGAGATAGTGGTGCCCAAATGTAGAGAGTGGAAATATTTGCTCTCATATTTGAGGAGAATGATATGATTGATGAAGATGTGACACAAGCTAAAAGAGGATTGTGGAAACGGAGGAGTGCTAAGACAGTTGTGTTATACGTGAATGCTTAAAAAAGTCAAACACAAGTTGTATGCAACGGCAGCGAGATCAGAGATGTTATATGGGAGTGATTGCGAGTAATGTTAATCCATGTGTATCCACAAGATAAATTTCCTAAAAATTGCGTGGATATATAGTCATACGGGGTCATTAAGATTAGAATTATCACATCTGACCCAAAAAAACACATGATAAGATGAGAGTCTGGCTTTCTATGTTCTATGTAGACCTCCATATGCATTGGTCAGTATGTGCAAAAACATGATGATTGAAGGTAATAAAAGAAGAGAGAGATTGAAAGTTGTATTTGAGAGACTTGTAGATCTCGACATCAATATGAATTTGATGTCAGATCATAATACAATAGAAGCAAAGAATCTATACATGAGTTACTCTTTTATCAGGTCAAGTCTTTGGTAGGAATCTCTTTTTGTTGTTGCATACTTGTTTGCTCGACTAACGGGATTAAGAGAGTCTAGTTCTAGGCAAAAATCTTAGTGTTTATTTTTTAGATTTAGGGAATCTAATAATTGTGGGTGATTTTAACTCACATCAAAGGTGGGTGACTTTAATAATTGCAGAATATCAGAACGGGGCAATGGAAGTGGCGAGGAACGTGGTTGATAGTACTCTAGAGAGGGCAAGTTTGCATGAATTCCCCGGATTAAATAATTGTTAGTTTATTCTCGTCTTTCTCATTCTCTCTCTATATATCTCGGACTTAACTCGGATGCTCATATTCCTGTTGACATCTTATTGCAGTAGGCCCAGAGGAATTATATGGTATGCTATTTCTCCAGGTCGTTAGACTACATCGGATTCTTCGACAGTGAAGAAGCACTTATTGCCGTGGAGGAACTTGAAGAAGACAGTGGAGAGTAGTGTATGTATATTCTCTTTTTATGACTATATATATAGAGAGAGATCAAGATGAAATTGTTGATGTAGACAGAAGAAAAGGAGATTGGTGGAGGAACTAGTTCTTCAGTTCATTGTACACGCTATGTTAAATTGTTCATTATCATATGATTTTATTGCCTACTTTCCTGTAGCATTTTGTTTTTGCTTTTCTAGGTGGATTCAATTTGATCATAGAGTTTCCATGCAACGACTATGCTTCGAAAAAGGGTCAAAAATACCTCTAACCTACCCAAAAAACTCACAAACATTTTTATCTAAAAATACCGTCAATTACTCATTATTTTTGGTGCAGATATACTCCTCTTCCCTCCCCCCCCCTTTGATTCAAAATTGCCTTCAACTTTGTTATAATATTAATAATGTTGCATCTAGAATTCAGTAATTTTCCTTCAACAATCTATATATCCATAGTCTTAATCCTCAATTTTCCTATTAATCAAAAGTGATACAAAGATTTACATCGCCTTTTAATTCTTAGATTGTTATTAATGTTAAATATGTCTTGTTTTAAAACCTGGTTAATTTTGATTCTCATATTTCATAATTGTGGCCGGCAATTGCATTATTAAAGTTGATATTTGGTTGCATAGGATTTCTAAGAAATTGTAGGATTC